CTCCTCTTCGCTTCATCTGCTGAACTATCATCGGAATAGGAGCTTTCTACGTTTTCTTGTATTTCATTGGCACTCTCCGTTTCGGTTACAGCTTCCTCCTCGCTTGCACTGACTTTTTCATCTTCTTCGCTAGAACTCTCAGCTCCGCTCGAATCAACGTCGTAACAATGCTTAGAAACAAGCCAGGAAGGGCGATTGTTTTTTAATTTCCGTTTCGCTGACACAGCTTTAGCAGAAATCTCTCTGCGGTCGTTTTCGTTGACAAAACGAATAGCAATATCGCCCACCGCGTCTTCCGCCATCTTGTTCTGCGTCAATTCGTGAAGGACGCGTGGCTCTGAGCGTGTGTAATCTACGAGGAACACTTTTTCGCACTATGTGATTGGCTGTTGTCTAATCCCCCTTGGGATTTGTGGTCTTAAAAATAACTCGAGACGAATTACCTATGGAATAGGGTGTGTATTGGGGCATGCCTTCTCTGTCCCCTTTATCCTCTCTTGGTGTAGTCCCATTACCTGTCTGGTTATATAGAGCACGTCGTCGGTTTTGTGAATGTTCCCGACCTGTATCACTGTCTTTCGCCTTGTTTTCGAAAGCTCGTCTCTGCCTTTTTACGTTTACTGTACTCTCACCTGTCAAAAAACGTAGGTGATTTATATGCCGCGAGGGAGATTGTAGAGGACAATTCCGACCTTGGCTATAATCGTATATATAAAACAACACTACTGGGTGTAAAAAAAGCCTGTCAGTTCAAAACAACATTGAATGTGCAAGCTTTTCTTTTTAAAAGAAAGTTGTTTTTCAGGTCCAGGCGGAACATTGTTATTTAAATTTTCTGCCGATTAGCTGGGCTAAAAATATTCTTGTATTATTCTTACATCATGGCTTATGGCATCCCGTTTTAGAATGTATTGGGGCTTAGAGTGCAGGTTTAGCGGAAAGGAATAATTTTATACGGTTACTAGTAAAAAAACATATATTACCTGTAATGTATTTTACGGATTTTCAAATACAAATTATTTGAAATTATATCCTTTTCAAAATCTTAGTCTCGGGTTTATTCTTAAAATTTGGCAAATTTCAGCCTCGATATTCTTATAAAATATATTTTTTATAAAAAGAAATGAGTGTAAACTAGCAGCTCTTCAGAACCTCTTATTTAATTGGACCCCTATTTTTCTGACACTAATTTGGCTTCCTTGATCAGGGCCTGTACGGTCCAATTACCTAGGGCTGATTTGTACCCAAGAGCTGAAATGGGTCCTAACATCGGGTGGAATTAAAGCCTCTTTGATGGAGCTGTTTTGGCTAAAATTGTGCTCTAATGGCTCCAGAAGGGGCTCAAAACACTCCCCAAATTACTAACAAATAATTGATATTTTAAGAATTAAGGGACTGTGCAATAATTATCAGGAGGGGGGGAGGCTAAAACCAGAGGGGGGGGGGGGGTTTAAGTTAAAATAATGGAAAGGAGGGGGAGCTCTACATTAGATTTCTCAAGTAAGTTGAGGGGGGGTCTTAATTAAATTTCACAAGTTCGATAATGAATAAATAAACATTTTCCAAATAGACAGATGCCACTCCTTTGACTATCCATAATGTCTAAATATTGCATCAACATAAACACATGCTTTAACTTATTTAGAATGTCAACATATGATAGATTGAAACAATCGTTCATGCACAGAAGTCACAAACCACGTTGTGAGCTTTGCCAATAAAACATTTGGCATTTAAGAGGTCCCGCAGACATACCAGGTCTGTTCTTGATTTAAACAGCGTTCTAGGTCTACAGTTTCTAGCTGAGGAATGCCACATGCTTCTGTTTCATAGTTGTCATCAATGGGTTCGCCTCCCAAAGACCGAAAAATTATACAGGTTCGGGTCCTACGGCTTTCTGAGGCAGCAATCCTCTTCTTCTCCCTTTTTTCTTCTGTTCCTTCTTTTTTCTTGATTTGGATGCTTTAGATTTGGCACCAATAGGAAATGTCGCTTTATATTTAGCCATCAGCCTATCCAGGTCTTCTACAAGATGCAGAACGTTTAAACCGACTTGAGACTTTATTGAATGACGTTGTTCAGCATTAAAATTGTGTAAACAGCTGAGGCCAGTCTTCAGTTTGTCATTGTCTGTAAAAAGACTGTTGTCGTGTTTTTCTAACTTGGTTACGACAGCATTAAGCTTGTCCTGGATATCATTTGCCTCTTTTTTGCAACGTTTGATGTTGCTGTCATCATGGGGAGTTGGCTTGTAATCCTCTCGAAAAAACCTTCCTCCACAAGCAGGTTTGTCGGATAAAAGATATTGGTATCTGTTCTCAAGTTTTTCAATATCTAAAGTAACTTTACATTGCCTGTCTCTTTCCGCCATGAACGCCTGCTTCATCAATGCTGCATTGGCTCCAGCCCTTGTTTTGAAACTTTCGTAAAAATCTGGCAGGAGTTTGTTACCGAATAATGCAATTCGCCTTTTTGCATCAGGAACAAAACCATACTTTGTACTTTTCCACTTCGGCTTGCTCGTGTAAGGTAGTAAAAAACTCTTTTCTGTGCTCGAACTGGTGGTATGTTCAGTCGCAGTCGTCCGCTTCGACTGTGAATCGTTACTGCTAGGGTCAACTCGTCTGTGCTTTGTTGGTGGACATCTACAAAACGAGCAGTTGTTGATATTATCATTCATAGAGCACGCGCACCAAAAATTCCTTGCAATGAAAGCAAAAAAACGGGCAACGGAAAGGAACAAACTTCCAGACATTAATTGGTCCGACGAGGTTGAAGTCAACTCGCTGTCTGCAAGTAAACTGAAACTCTACCTAAAGGAACACGGTTTACCCGTCAGCGGAGGGAAAGCAGCACTCGTAGCTCGTGTTCTAGGTGCTGGGGAAGCTCAAGGTAAAGACAACACGAATGAGCAGCAATCTAGCAGTTCGGAAGACCAAGAAGATAATGAACAATCAGACGATTCGGAAATTGACGATTATGAAGAACAAAGTTTCGAGGTGCTCTTCATCCCTGACGACACAGTGGAATGCGTTGCAGTACGGTGAATAAAGGTACGGGTTAGAGAGGGGGGCACATCATAATTTTGAGTGAACGTGAGGGGGGGTCAGAGCTAATCTTGACGTTGCCGGTGGGGAGACCTATCTAATTTTTCCTTTGGTGAAGCTAATCTTAGGACCCCCCCCCCCCTTCCTGATAATTATTGCACAGTCCCTAAAGGAGATGTCTATATTGATAAGCCCACTTTAATTAGAAATGTAAAATCACCCGGAAATGTCGTAAAAAATATAAATTGTATAATTATATATTTGCTTACTCGTTTCTACTTTTACTGTTTGTTATTTGTTTAATTATGTTTTCTCTGTCCTATTATTTAGTCCTCAACCAACGATTTTCATTGCATTTGATTGCTTAACTGTAAACTTTTGTTTGTTAGCCTTAATCTTCTTTTTTTGCAAGCATTGTCTCGCCTCGAATAGCCTTGCTAGCTGCGGGCAGTGCTTCAATTATATCATCTGTCTATTAATCAAAATTGTTGTTGTCTTTGAATCAGAATTTGGCCGGCAGCGTTGAATTGGCACTTTGGGGCTGAAACAGATCTTTTTTTGAATTTTAACTGTATTTTCATCGTCTAAAACTAAATGGCAAATTGCAAAACGATAATAAAATTAATGAAAGCAGGTTTAAGCTTAGTTGTTATATTAATAAGCAGCACCGTTAACTTCCACGGTAACAACACTCATTTCATTTATTTCCTATTATTATTATTATTGTTACTATTATTATCGTTATTATTATTATTATTATTATTATATCCACTGCATTTAGACTTAACAATTAATGCTAAGAAATTTTTTCGTTATAAAACAAAAGAAAAAAAAGTTAAACTAGTATTCTTAGCGGTAAACAGTTTTTAATAAATCTTGTTACCTGTGCTTTCAATTTCGGCTTTCGCTGCTTGTGTTTGGCTTTTAATATCTTCGTTTTCTTGAGCTGCTGTTAATGTTAGTTGAGCTGAAGGAGGAGCCATAATTGAGGCACCCCGATTAAAGCTTCTGCCCGATGCTTGTCCTTGTGAATTTGCCTTACTACTGCCCTGGTGCAAACCTGCGTAGATACACCAACATACAGCCGATACAAGAAAAATGTTTAAATATGTTTGCCCATACGCTGTATTTGAACAGGGAGTTGGGGGAGGGGTGGGGGGCTCATTTTTGTGACCCCGTGATCCAACACTTTTTTTTGTTGTCTATGAATCGTGATGTGCTGAAAAATTGTTGTATGTTGTGATTGAAGTCGACTCCCTGAAAACTGCGAACTGCTACAATCCTTGACTGTGAAACGTGAATATATATACATTGAAGAAATTAAGTCACTTTTAAGAAACAGTCTTTTCTTTTTTTTTTTGGCTTCTTTTTTTTTCAGCCAGCAAGGACAAGCGCGAAGTAAAAGGCATCAAATTAAAAATAAGACTAAAAATGTAAGTATCTCATTAATTCAAAATAACATTTCATAGACTGTAATGCAGTGTGGCCAATAAAGCCAGGTCATGCGGATTCTTTTCTATTAAATTTTTTTTTTCCCAGCGAACGATGCTTAACTGCCGGCTATAATGGTGCTTATCTTATTAGACGTCCTGTTTATTTGATTGTGGCATGAGCTTATTCCTTTGTCACGTGTAAGAAATTTGTCTTGATTCGAAAAATGCTGAATACGTTAACGGAAAATCAAGTCGCTAATATAGGTGTAGTCCAAGAGAGGATAAAGGATACAGGGAAGGCATCCCCCATACACACAATATTCCATAGGTAATTCGTCTCGAGTTATTTTTAGAATCGGGATAAAGTTACCTCGCGCGCTGCGTGGATGTTTCGTGGAGGTTTCGCATAACTAAACGCCGTGTAAAACATGTCGAGCGAAAGGCAATGAAAGCGTAAAGAGATCGAGAGCATTCCTGAATATTCAAGCGAAATGAGTCGGCGCTCACCTGGGAAAAGGGAATCGCTCTATCTCTTCTTCCGAAAGACTCTTGTTCCGTTTATTTCTTCGGCGCCCTTTGCTTGATTTGGTGACGGTCGAACTCGAAGGCGAGGTTTAGGCTTCCCTGCACAATCCCTCCTCTTCGCTTCAGTATCGCTCTCCGCGTCTTCCGCCATTTTGTTCTGCGTCCATTTGTGGAGGACGCGTGGCTCTGAGCGTGGGTCATCCACGAGGAACACTTTTTCGCACTATGTGATTGGCTGTCGTCTAATCCCCCTTGGGATTTGTGGTCTTAAAAATAATTCGAGACGAATTACCTAGGGAATAGGGTGTGTATTGGGGCATGCCTTTTCTGTCCCCTTTATCTTCTCTTGGTGTAGTCCCATTACCTGTCCGGTTATATGGAGCACGTCGTCGGTTTTGTAAATGTTCCCGACCTGTATCACTGTCTTTCGCCTTGTTTTCGAAAGCTCGTCTCTGCCATTTTACCTTTACTGTACTCTCACCTGTCAAAAAACGTACGTGATTTATATGTTGCGATGGACGTGCAAACCTGGGTAGATACACCAACATACAGATACATGAAAAATGTATAAATATATTAGCCCATACGATGTATTTGAACAGGGAGGTGGGGGGGGGGATTATTTTTGTGACCCCGTGATCCAACATTTTTGGTGTCTATGAATCGTGATGAGCTGAAAATACGTGGTCTATTGTGATTGAAGTGGACTCCCTGAAACGCGAACTGCTACAATACTTCATTGTGAGTCGTGAATACCCATATACATTGAAGAAATTAAGTCACTTTTGATAAACAGTGTTTTTTTGTTTTCCTTTTTTTTTCAGCGAGCAAGGGCAAGCGCGAATCGAGGGTCAAGTTCAACATATATTTTGTGAAGGGATAAAATTAAAAATAAGACTAAAAAATCAGAACCCGTTAATATGAATATCTCATCCATTCAAAGTAACATATCATAAACTGTAATGCAGTATAGCGTGGCAAATAAAGCCAAGTCACGAGGGTTCTTTTCCTTTCTTTTTTTCTCATCTAACGATACTTAACTACCAGCGATAATGGTGCCTATCCTACTAGACGTTTTATATATTTGATTATGGCACGAGTGTATTTTTTCGGTACGAGTAAGAAATTTAAGTTCAGAAATGCTGAATACATTAACCGAAATTCAGGTCGCTAATATAGGTGTAGTCCCATTACCTGTCTGGTTACACGGAGCACGTCTTCGGTTTTTTGAATGTTCCCGACCTGTATCACTGTCTTTCGCCTTGTTTTCGAAAGCTAGTCTCTGCCATTTTACCTTTACTGTACTCTCACCTGTCAAAAAACGTACGTGATTTATATGCCGCGAGGGACGTTACTCTGTAAAGGACAAGAACCTAACTTTATACTTTATATCAGATATAACAACACTGCCGGGTGTAAAAGGGCCTTTCAGTCCAAAACAACAATCTAAATTCAGTAGCCTCGCAGGTCTTCAAAACCTCTGATTTCATTGGACATTTATGGTCGCAGCTCATTTGTTTTCGGGCTAAGTTCCATTGTTAACTTTGTTGTCACAATGATTATTTTCCCAGTCAATCCCGTCAGGGCTTTTCATAGCTGCCAGGTCGCCCCCTGACTTTGCTACCAAATCGTCTGACAGTTGCATTCGTTCTAAGCGGAGAAAAATCCAGCCAGGTCCAGAGAGAACTATAAAGCTAATTTTGATTTTGATTCAGCCCTAGATATTTGTCAAGAGAGTGGCGTGCGTCGGTTAAACAGGTTGGCCTTCAGTCTTTGGTGGTTGGAAAAAGCGCAACTGAAGGGAAAGTTGAATTCAATCATCAAGGCGAGTTGCAAGCCAGCACCCAAACCACAAATTTACGGTGCGACTACTGCAACCGGGTCACTTGGAAAAAGATTATTCAATCCAAACGTTTGTTTTTAAAACAGAAGATTCTCAATTTGTTTTGGAAAGGACCACTAAAATTCAAGGTTCAGCTATAGGACCGTTGAAAAGTTTAATATTTAACCGCGTTTGAACTTACCTCGCCTCTCAGGAAGCAGCCCTCAAATTTTTAATGTTATTGGTCGCAAAAAAACCTTGACAATCTTTTGTTTTTAAAAAACGTTTTGATTGGATAATCTTCTTCCAGGTGCCCCGGTTCGACTAGTCGTACTAAAATACTTCTGGAAAATAATGTATGACTGAATCCTGGGTCAGGTTCTGCTCCTATATACTGCGAGCAGTCTCTCTTTTTCTTCAGATTTAGTAAGGGGAGTGCACGCGCGCGCGAGCGTTAGACGCGAGAAACGAGTGCAGCAGCCCGCCTCTCCCGTCTCGCGCCTTCAGTCATGCGCGTGATCATTTGCGTGTCTCGGGCGTTTTGCTCGGCGGACCAAGAAAAAAGAGAGACTGCTCGTAGTCTGCTGCTTCTTGAAACAGTGTGAAAAACTTTATAAGGCTTGGGCTTTTGGCTCGCATTCGTCGATTATACCTCATGTTGGAGGTCTCTTAACAGGTGACATTTCACTCGTAATGCTAATGGGAATTTGTACGATCTTGCATCCAGGAGAAGGAACGCCCTGGATCCTCAGCTGAATGCACCAACCAAAGCTAAGCCAAAACGTAATAAGCAATTTTGCTGTCACGCCAGTAAAATATGTTAGTGGAACGTGACGCTAGTTATCAGTAACCCTTTCATGGTCGTTCTTTTTCAAAAAAGCAGTTGTGTAGTCAGGTTGCTAGGGTCAGCAAGCTCTAAGATACATTGTATTCTAGCGTAGAAGTTTACGGCCTTGTTGTCTTTACCAGGCAAGTACGCTGAGTACGATCTACAGCATTGGCCATTTTTTTCAAAGCACTTTTCAAGGCTAAGAGTTCGCATGTGCAACGCTGAGCCGTCTTGTAGTGCAGCCTTTTCTACTGGCTATGCCAGCAGACGTTCGTCTAGCTATAGAAGCCTAGAACAACTGTTCAGAGTTCACTTGAGTTCTGTTGTTCAGCAAGGTTAGCGCTCACATATTATTCTTGTAAAATTTTTCCCTCCCTCCCTTTGGAGATGAGGTTTGGGCTTTGTTTTGTGCTATGCCATCAAATAAACTAGGGACACTGCTCGCGGCGCGGTTAAGTCTGCGCAGCGACTTCCCCCAAGCTTGTTGGCCGCATTGCCGTTTAATATCGCCTGCAAACCGATACTTTTGTCCGATCCAGCACGTGCTGTATTGAATTCAGTAGTCTGAGTATCAGATCTTCCTAAGGGGCTAGGGGAGAGGAGATTTTAGATGGGGGAGGGAGGAGGGGGAGAAGAGAAATGAAGCTGGTAGTGCTGTTGAGATAAGTGAGGTTCTTTGGTCACGCCATCCCCGGAAGTCGCACAGGCTAACCTAGCGTAAGGCAGTGCTCCCCCACTAACGCCAACTTGTTGTTATTTGTGTTATAATTTAGTTACTTCGCGTTTAACATGCATCGTAAAGGAACAAAGACATTAAATGGATAAAAAGACAAACAAGCAAACAATACTTTCCTTAAAACAAACAAAAAAGGTTAATATATTCTTAGGGGGTAAACAGTTTTGATAATCTTGTTACCTGTGCTTTTAATTTCGGCTTTCGCTGCTTGTTCTTGGCTTTTATTATCTTCTTTTTCTTGAGCTGGTGTTAATGTTAGTTGAGCTGAAGCAGGGGCCATAATTGAGGTACCCGGATTAAGGCACCTGCCTGATGCTTGTCCTTGTGAATTTGCCTTACTACTGCTCTGGTGCAAACCTGGGTAGATACACGAACATACAGTCACAAGAAAAATGTATGTATGTTTGTCCATACGCTGTATTTGAACAGGGAGGGGGGGGGAGGGGGGGGGGGGGTTAACACCTGGGGGGGTCCGTGGGGCCCAATTTAAAAGTTAGGTAAAATGAAAATGGTTAGTTTTTAAATTAACCTTTTTTGAGGGGGGTTTTTGCTTTCGTCCGGATCCTTTCTCCCCCACCCCTTTATAAAAAAAAGGTTAAACGTACCTAAAATTGGGCGAAACAAGTAGTGAGGTTGGTGTGTGTGTGCACGGTGGGGCCGTGTGAGGTGTCGGCTGGGTTCTTGGGGATAGGGGGTAAGCACTGAGGCGGCTCTGTGAGCTCACATTTAAGAGTTAGCTAAATGAAAAATGTCTAGTTTTACACTTACACTTGATGCAGGTGGTACTTAGCTTACTGCCGATGCCTTCTACACCCACACCTGTACAATACAATGATCAAGCTGACTGAAATTTGGCAGAAACAGGTCGAGCACACGGCAAGACAATTTACAGCAAACCTAGGTGTACTCTGAAACACTCTTTAATACCTGAATGTGGCGCATATCCATGAAGACTCTCTTCTTTTGACCTCTTTACAGGCGTAAGTTTCTTATATGACGAAGCTAGAACAACGTATATATTCGATTCTGCTTCTTTGTCTGACTCTTCTTTTGCTATTCTAAACACTTCTTCCCCAAATTTAATGCTTTCTTCGTAGTTTGCCAGATAGTAATATGACCAGGCTAAAATTTTACACGCCTCTCTTTCGTCGTGTTTATTACCAACATCTTTACTCCAAAGCAACCATATTTTGGCGTTTTTGATGCTTTCGAGGTATTTCTCCTCTGGATAGTCTTCTAGTGCCTTGCGTTTTGCGATTTGCCATTCCATTTTCGTAAATCCGTTGGTGCAGTTATTTTGCGGTCCCTTTGGCCTTTACCAACGGCTGGATTGATACTCCGAGGCCTATCGTAATAATTAAAAAAAAATTGTTGATGTTAGTCAGTTGCGAATGCTCAAGCCCTCATGTCAAACTGTTGCCCAGGAAACCATATTTACGGTTATTAGAATTGAAGTAGTTCAATCAAGTATTTGTACACAGTGATGAGTTCTACGGAAACTTAAACTTTTCTAGTTTTTCCTCCTGGAACTTCGTTGATACAATTATTTGTGGGATATTATATGTATTTTTTTTTAATATCTTGATTCGAATACGCAAATCATTGCCTATTTAGACTGATCCCTATTCATAGGAGGAAAGGGTGGTGCAAATGGAGTAGGGCTATGTTAAAATTCTCCTGACCCTCAGCCGCCTCTTACCCAGTCCCTTAATTGATCATTCATACTCTTTAGCAACCGTCATAATCGACAAAGATGAAAAAGGGCAGCTGGCCGCAGATCTAGGGTTTATTTCGGAAGGGTAGCCTTAATGACTCCCTAGAGCGGGAGTATCATGAGGTATAGGCTTTGATAGATTGTGCTAGCATAAGTTTTGGCATAATTCGTCATAACGTACGAGATAATAGGGCCATTTATACGAGGAAAAATACGACGCGTCTTAAATAAGACGCGAACTGTACCATTCATACGAGCATGTCTTATCTAATAAGACGAGTCTTAGCTAAGCCGCGTCTTATTTTAGACGAAATGTGCCGTTTATACAGAAAGTTCGCGTCTTATTTAAGACGCGTCTTATGTAAGACGCGTCTTATTTTTCCTCGTATAAATGGCCCTAATGTTCATCTATTTTCCGAAAAAAGCGCTTCTAGTATAGTTTGCACTTATGGCTAGTTTTGCGGCCCAAACTTTTCATTGACTGATCATGCACCCAACATTTTTGGCCAGACAGCAGGACAGTGGTAGCCAGGAAAATCATAATGAATTATATAATTATGCATCAGTAAAGTTTCTAGTTGCAAATAGGGTAAATGTGTTTGCCATTTACTTGTTAGTTATTAATTGAGAGCTGTTTTTGCACAATTTAAAGTAAAAAGTAGAAGCATAATTTCTGCATTTTTCTGCTCAGTAAAATGGACATAGTTTACAAAAATAAAAACAATCATAATTATTGGCATAATCAGTTTAGAAATATACGAGGGCTGCTAGACTGCTAGTGGCTTAATATGCTACTTTTGCGAGTAAAATCTATCAAAGCCTATCTCGAGGTACGGGGGCATTTGTGCAATCCCCTCCAGAATTTTTGAAACTTTACCTCCTTTTCGTAATGGTGTCTAGGGATACCTATATGCTGACCTTAAATGACCACTAAAAGAGACTGGAACAGGATTCGCTTAACCCTCGGACGTACAGGGGGAGGGGGGAGGCGTGGGGAGACGCTCTAAAAATGTACCGGCGGACTTAGAATTTTTTTTTTTCACAAAATATGATGAAAGTGAAATTTTCAAGAAAGATTTTCGTCTAAGTAATCCTAAGGGGTTAAGAAACTGGCTCTCTTGAAAAAATCACGAGCCAGAAAAAAATATATATCCACCGATTACCTGACGGATTTGTAAATAACATAGCTAGTCTTTATATATATATATATATAACCTATCACAAGCATCTTTTAGAAGACACTCCCTTCACAACTCAATAAATACAGTACCACAAGTGAAGAGTAAAACAATATGTTTTTCGTCTCTCACCTATATTTCGGCCGTGTTAAACGGCCTTCATCAGGGTGAATGGCCGTTACAAGCATCACACACCATTATAACATGATAACGAACAAATTTGAAAACTTGCACGCGCTACAAAGAAAGATAAACACGCGCGCGCT